CCTCCCCCAGGGCAGGACTTGGCACTTCTCCTCGTTGAACTCCACGAGGTTTTTGTTGGCCCACTTCTCCAGCCTGAGGAGGTCCCTCTGGACTGCAGCCCAAGGCTCTCTTCATCACCCACTCCTCCTCGTCTGGGTCAGCTGCAGACCCTGTCCCACCCCCCAGATCAGCAATGCAGACTACCAGGACTGGAGGCAGTGTTGACCCCAGGGGTACACCACCAGGTACCGGCTTCCAACCCGGCTCTGTGCCACCACCCGACGCCCCCCACGCCCAGCCCCTCAGCCCACCCCGCTGTCCGCTCATCCAGACCCCACGCCAACAGCTTGCCGAGGCAGACAGCACCCACGGCTCTCCCCTCGGCTGCCAGGCCACCCGTTTAAAACTGCCGCTCCGCAAGGCATGGGGAGAGCTCGGACCCCCCGTCCCGACACAGCTGTGTCAGCCCCACCTCCGGCCCCACGCTCCCCGGCGCTGACCCGGCTCCGCCGCGGTTCCCACTCACGCTGCTCGTGAGTGAGCACCAACCAAGAAGCCACCTCCCCAGGCTGGAAGGTCCGCACTTCCACAGAGCAGCGTTCGTCCTTCGGAGATGCACTCGGCTCTTTGTAACCCTAAGACCATTTTTAATAAAGCTCACACACTGCAGATCCTTAAAAGAATAGTAAAATAATTGTTTATAAATTCTTTCTTAGTCCGGAGAGGCTCAGATTAACACGCTTGAGAAAAAGAAACGCTCTGTCTCAGAACTTAACATTAAGTCAGAATTTCTGCTTAAACGTAAGCAAAAGATCTTCCCCAAGTGTAAAGTGCACCTTTTCCAACAGCCTCCAAACAAACCCAAGCAACCGAGCTACATCATTCGGAACAACACTTGATTTTCGTGCCGATAAGGGAGACGCATGCCTTCACCCCGCGGCGCTGCTGCTCGAGGCTCTTCCGCAGCGTCTGACGAGGCCACGACCCTTCTGACAGTCACCTGGTTCGCCTGCGGACCCGAAATGCCGTCAGGGCCGCGGACGGCAGAGGTAGCAGCCCGTCACCTTTACACACACGCGCACAGGTACGGCGGGGAACAGCGGAGCACAAAATGCCTGCTGGATTTATCAGCAAATGAAATCCGAGGAAGTACAGCAACACTCCTTCTCCTTCCCCCTGCCTAACAGCTCTCAGATCCCGGGGCAAACGGAACGCAGTCAGGTACAAAAAGAGTTCTGCAGCTCTCTCCTGGTGACTTCCCATCGTGGTATTTTCAGAAACTAACCTAGTTACCCACGCCTGGCTGGCCACGCTGAACCTCACTTTCCCCGTTTCAGATATAAAAATCCAAAGCTCGTTCCAATTTCTGAGCATTTCTGAACCTTTTGCTTTGCATTTTCAGTTTTGAGAGCAGGCTTCTTCAAGCTTTTAGGTTTTACTTAATGAAAGCAGCCTTCCTCTTAGACCTGAGTAAAAGATGAGAGGAAAAAGGTCTTCTCTTCAGACATTTAGCAGCCCTCACATCAGTGCTGCCAGCAAGGGGAAAACATAAGAACCCTCCTACTTCTACCAGGGGAAAAAAAATAAATCATACAGGCACAGCAGCCGGAGCTCCAGGAGGAGCAGGGAAGGGACAGCAGAGCAGCAGAGTTCCCAGGAGCCCGTCTACCCAGTACAGCGTGACACAGAAAGAGGAGCCGCGCCGGGGCCGCATCCTGCCGGGGCTCAGGAGCGCGCCGAGCGGTGCGCGTCCCAGCAGCTCTGCCTCCCTGCAAGCGCTCGCACAACGGACGGCTCGACCGGCTTTTGCAGTTCAGTGCAACAGTAAAAATAACATTCACTGTATCAAAAATACGCTATAAAACGATAAAAGGCTGCATGGCGCTGCAATGCGTTGTTACTTCAATAAAAATCGTGGTTGCACGTATAGCAAGAGACCTGCACCTTCATCAGCTTTCTGAACACCAGAACAGTAATCCTTGGCTATTAGAGACTCCCCTCTCCCCCCCTTTTATTTTTTTTTTTAAATGAAATTTCTTTTGCTGTTCTTGAAGATGCCATCTATGGATATTTCAAATTTCTGTTACCTCACTATATTTTCAGAAGCATAATTTCTCCTCTCTTCCTCAGGTACTGAAGAGAAAAAAACAAAACAAAACCAAAAAAGCCAAAAAACCCGAGCTGGACGTTTTTTCTGCTAGCTCACGCAAAATCGCAGTCGTCTGAAGAAGGGGTCAGGACCAGAGGGAACGGTAACGTGTCCTCAGCACTTCTTCTAATAACAATGAATCGCAATTTTTGAAGTTACTCTTGCTACAGCACCAATACATTCACAAATAAACGAGAACTGAGTTTTCCCTGCTGTAGTACACTTAATTTTTTAAAAGTTACTTGGAATATGCACTTTGTTTAAATATCTACATTAAAACACACCGTACTGTAAAATGCATTTTTGCGTTGTTCCACAAACTCTTACAGTCCATTCAACTGGCTTTTACAAGAGCTGCTGCGCGGGTTTCCTCCTCTCCTGGAGAAGCAGACTGAAGAGTGCAAAAGGAGCAGCGTTACTTGTGAAAAGCAAGCCTTTGTTTGCAGCTGGGTTCTGAAGCTGTCCTGTGTTCACCGTCTCTCGAGTTATTCCAGCTTTTCTTCATTGGAGTTAGGTGAGGGGCAACCACGTCACTATCCTGTTATTAAAAGTCAGAAAACATTAATGCTGGTACATTCACATCTGCTTTCTACCCTAAAGCAGGAGAGAAGCAGCTCAGCATCAGACTTATTAGAAAAAACAAACCCAAGGCCCTAGGAGCGCTGTGAATCAACCAACTTGGCAGGCTGCGCAGAGATGGAAACTGCCGTAGTCAGTGGCAGCATCTGGCAGAGAGAAGAGCAGCCCCGCGCGCCCCGAGGAGCCTTCGCCACCGGCAGTTCGCCCCTCCCCAAGGTGTGACCGGCAAACGCGGGAAGAGCAGCAGGCCTGTGCTCTGGGCACTGCTCCACGAACCCGGGAACACTGCTCTGCGCGCTGCCTCCGATTCACCGCCGCGTCTGGTTTACAGCTGTGGCCACCTCCCAGCTGTAGGTGCCTGGACGTGCCTCTCGCTGCCCTACAGCACACGGCGCTGTTCCGGTACCCGGTACGGTCTCCGCCCTGTCAGATACGTACGCTCATCCAGTGCTCGGGCACCGCCCGGAGAGCAGCCGGCCCCCCGAGGTCAGCAATCACCTGGCGAGACCCACGCTGCGACGCCCCGCGACACGCCAGGGCCCGCGGGACGGACATGCAGAGCTAGAAGACGACGCTTGTAGATACAACCACACTCTGCACACTATGAGCAGAGAAAGTTTTGATCCATTTGTAAAAAGCCCTTCTGAAATTCACCGCTCTCACCAGGCGGATGCCAGCAGCATGAGATAAGAACCAGCCTCAAAACAAGTTGTTGGTGCCTGCAGCTGCAGCCCCAGCATGGAAGAACTCTCCTCTG